CTTGGACACACACACAAACACACAAACACGCACACACACTTGCCACATATGCACATAGTTACAAATAAAATAAATCTTTAAATTTAAAAAAAATTAAACCGAAGAAACAAAACACCCAGGAATGGCCATATACACCTTTAATCCCAGGACTTAGGAGACAAGAGGCAGGTGGTCAGTGTGGTCTACATAGAGAGTTTCAGGGCAGCACTTAGTAAGGCCCTGTCTCAAACAAACAAAGCAAAGTCTTCATTAGTGTTTCTATTGTGAAGAGACACCATGACCACAGCTACTCATATAAAAGAAAATATTTAATTGAGACTGGCTTACAGTTCAGAGGTTTAGTCCCCAGGAAGCATGGCAGCGTGCAGGCAGACACAGTGCTAGACAAGAAGCTGAGACATCTACATCAGGAATGGCAAGCAGCTGGAAGTGAACTGAGACACACTGAGACCTCAAAGCCCACCCCCAGTGGCCCACTTCCTCCAACAAGGCCACACCTACTCCAACTAGGCCACACCTCCTAATAGTGCTACTCCCTATGTCCAAGCATTCCAACACAAGAGTATATGGGGCCCTTACTATCCAAACCACCACAAACAACAACAAAAACATCTATAAAAAACAAAATGTGCTGGGAGGAGGTGGTGCACACCTTTAATCCTAGCACTCAGGAGGCAGAGGTAGGCGGATCTCTGTGAGTTTGAGACCAGCCTGGTCTACAAGAGCCAGTTCCAGGACAGCCTCTAAAACCACAGAGAAACCCTGCCTCAAAAAACAAAAAAAACAAAAAAAAATGTTCTACAAAGGGGGCTGGCTAGTGGTGGCACACACCTTTGATTCTAGGACTCTGGAGGTGGAGGCAGGTAGATCTCTAAGCCTGGTCTACAGAGTGAGTTCCAGGATAGCCAGGGTTACACAGAGAAACCCTGTCTCAAAATATAAATAAAGAAAGGATTAGTTGGGAGGCTGAAGCACGAGAATCTTCAGTTTGAGGCCAGCCTAGCCTGGGCTATACAGTAAGACCTTGTCTCAAAACCATCAACAGAAACTTTAGTTTGTCCCACTATGATCCTTAAATGGATACTGAATGGTGCCTGTTAGGTCTCAGAGAAACCTGGGGAAAATGGCCAACTGAGGCGCCTATTCAACATATCAAAGCTGATGCTGGCACCAGGCTCCCAGTATAGCGAGGCCCCTGGCTCCTCCAACACTTCTTACCCACTCCTACCCCAAACCTCTCTAGCCTCTAAGCTTTGCTTCCCTAAACCCCCCTCGCCTCCCCCGTCCCCCATCCTGGCTTCTCTCTTCCTCTAAAACCCAGTCACTTTGGCTATGCTCTCTCTTGGTTCCTCATTGGGTTCTCTCTTGCTCTCCCCCTTTCCTCTCTTCTCATGGCCCAGTCTATCCTGCTGACCACAGTCAGTCTGGACTCTTCCCTCATACCTACAATAAAAACCTCCTCCTCATCCATACCTAGGTGCAGTCATGTCCTCATTTTCATTCAGTGCAGAACTGCTGTGAGAATAAAAATGCTGTGATAGTTAGCCAGCACTGGCTATTTAAAAAGAACTCCATTATAACCTATAACCCTAGCACTTATGGCAGAAGGATGGCCACTAGTGAGTTGGAGGCTAGCCTGGGCTATATAGTGAATTCCAGGCTAACCTCAGCTACGGAGTGAGACTCTATCTCAAACAAAACAAACAAATGAGAAATCAGGCCAAGTGGATAGCTCAGATGGTAAAGGAATCTACTACCAAGGGTGACAACTGAGTTTGATTCTCCAGAACCCAAATGATGAAAGGAGAGAACCACTTCCTACAAGTTTTCCTTTAGCCTGCCAGGACACAAGCCACTCCCATCACACAAAGAAGTAAAAAGAGGTAATGAAAAGCTGAAACAAAACAAAAAAGAAAGAAAATACAGATGCGAATTTCTTTTCTAGAGAGGGTTTCTCTGTGTATCCCTGGCTGTCCTGGAACTCACTCTGTAGACCAGGCTGGTCTGGAACTCACAGAGATCCACCTGTCTCTGTCTCCCAAGTGCTAAATGCTAAATTATAATTGTAAAATGTCAGTAATAATTTTCCATTAAAACTTCATGATGCCGGGCAGTGGTCATGCATGCCTTAATCCCAGCACTGGGGAGGCAGAGGTAGGTGGATCTCTGTGAGTCTGAGGGCAGCCTGGTCTACAGAGTGAGTTCCAGGGCAGCCAGGACTGTTACACAGAGAAATCCTGTCTCAAAAACAAACAAACAAACAAAAAAGCCCACCAACACTTCATGACTATTCTATATAATAAAGGTATATATTCCTAAAAATGATAGAAAGGATGATCGTGTGATGAAAATATTTAAATGCCAACTTAAAAAGAGCAAGACAGCATTCGAGGTTTTAAAAAAAAGTTCTTCAAGGGGCTTTGGAGGTGAGTGGGGTTTAAGGGTCTCTATTCTCCAGTGTCTACACCTCCCAGAGGAGCGCTGAGATAGCCTTGGAATCTTTCAAGCAACGAAAATCCCAACAGAAAGTCCTAACAGCAGGCCCTGCCCTGGGACTGCGGAGGCCTCCCCTGCACCCCATCCTCTCCCGCCCGGGCTGTTGCTGGCCGCCACCTCCCGTCCAGCCTGGAGTAAATAAACCACTGGGCTGGGACCCAGACAATGGGCCTTGGCGAGGAGTTAATGGGCTGGGCCTCTGCGCTAGCCGAGTGTGACCGGAGCTGGCAGGGGGCCTGGCCTGGCGCCAGCATCGATTACGACTAGACGGAGCCAGGGCAGACTTGGCACGGACAGGCCCCACAGCTGGCAGATTCAGTCACCCTCACAGAGAGGGCACGAGGCCTACCCTGGGCGCCCGCTGTCACCCGCTGGCTGCACTCCCGCCACCACCATCACTGCAGGTGGGGAGGAATTGCCAGTTGTCCCCCCCACACACACCCTGGGCCCTGATTTGTGATCCTTCCCAGGTCTGTTCTTCTGCCACAGGCTGTTTGGGGCCGCACAGACTAGGGGCAGTGGAGGTTTGGTGTAGGGGATAGGCAATATCCCCCTGCAGCGAGGACAGAACTTAGCTGGGGTCTGTCAGCTGGATGGCTTTCTTTTCCTGTCCCCCAAAGTCCTGCTGGACAGCGGTGCTCCACCGCTGCAGCCCCACCCTGGGAAGGGAACGAAGGAGCAGGAGACCGAGTTCTATGAAGCTGTCCAGTGCACAGTGTGGGCGTGCGGAGGGGGGCCGGCCCGGGGGACTCACAGGCGTTCTCGACTCAGGAGATGATGCCAGCTCTCGGACTCCTTGGGGCCAATCAGGAACAATCGGCTCCTCATTATTGTTCAAGCGTCCTTCGGAAGCTGGCCTCTGAGAGCTGCAGTCTGAGCGTGCGAGCACAGGTGTGACCGTGTGCTCCTCCCTCCGGCTTCCGTACCTCTTCGCCCTCAATTTCCCCCTCTCCTTTGTTAGTTTCCACTGCAGATGCGGCAGCTGCCTGCCTCTGCCGCCAAAGCAGTTACATCATCACCAGTCGCTAGGTGCCTTTCCACCCAGGGCTACCCGACATGTGACCCTTAAGAGTGTCTACCAGGCACAGTTCGCTCTCTTGTCTCTTTCCTCTTGCTTCCTCTCTTTCCTCTCTTACCTTTCTTGCTTCTCTTGCCTCTTTCCTGTTCTGTCTGTCTGTCTGCCTCTCTCATGTCCCCACTCCGACCTGGCCTCTCACTCTTTCGCTCTCCCCTCCCCCAATAAACCTCTTGTACTAACTCTGTTGTGCCCACTTGGCAGGGCCTGGAAGGTGCCCACTTTCAACCTTTCCCTTTAGGCTCTGGGGCCAGATCCTCCCCAGTAAAAGGACGTACGACCAGCCACCAAATGACCCCTGGAATGATGGTCTCCAAACAGAAAATAAGACAGTGGCAAGTAAAACTAGGTAGACAGGTAGGAGGGAAGAATTTTATTTATTTCTGTGAGTGTTTGTGTTACGTGTTAGTGTGGGTACCTATACATGTGTGCTTGTGTTATGTGTTACGTGTTAGTGTGGGTACCTATACATGTGTGCTTGTGTTATGTGTTACATGTTAGTGTGGGCACCTATACATGTGTGCTTGTGTTATGTGTTAGTGTGGTACCTATACGCGTGTGCCTGTGGAGGCCAGAGGTAACCATTTGGTGCCCTTTGCTCGTTCTCCACCCTAGTCTGTTTGATGTGTGTGCCTTCAGCGCCAGAAGAGAGCATCAGACCCCTGGAACGTGAGCTCCAGGTGAGCCTGATATGGGCGCTCCCAACCTCTGAGTCACCTCCACAGCCCTCCACCCGTTCGTTTCTGAGACAACGAACCTAAAGCTTGCTGATTTGACAAGGCTACCGGCTAATGTGCTTCAACGGTCGACCTGTCTTTGTCAGGCCTTCACGATCTGCTGGGGTGGCTGGCACATGGGGGCCATGCCCAGTTTTTTATGTGGGTTCTATGCTTGCAAGAAAGACATTTTACGACTGAGAATCTCCCCTACTTCTCCTTTTTCTTTCCTTCTTTCTTTGCTTTGGTTTTTTAGACACTATAGGCCAGTTCTAGGCAATAATCCTGCCTCAGCCTCTCAGTGGGGTTACGATCATGAGCCACCATGACAAACTGAAAAATGAAATTTTTATGATTTATTTTAATCTACGTGTGTGTGCCCTCAGAGACCAGAAGAGGTGTTGAATGCCCCCAGAGCTAGAGTTATAGGTAGTTGTGAGACCCTGTCATGGGTGTTGGGAACTGAACTGGACTCCTATAGAAGAGCAGCAAATTCTTGTAACCACTGAGCCATCTCTCCAGCCCCAACATTTACTTTTTTAATGTCCTTGAAGGACCTACAAAAATCACTTAGGTCGTTTAGGAACATAAAATGTGCTATGCATAACTTGGCTCATAAAATTGTCACCTTTGTTATATGGTTTCAGAGATGTAAAGTCCTGTCTGCAAGTTAAAAATGTGTTGTTAATAGAGTCTATGTGTCTCCCCGTGTTTTTGAGTACCAAAGGACTCCTCAGGGATCCCTCTCACCCCCTTCCCATCTAGTCCAGATTCATCTGTCCTATGCCCCCTTCTCTCTGCTTAACCTCACACTCCAACCTAATGCAACCAATTGCACAGGGCCTAATGCTCAGAAGGTGTCTGAGCTTGGCTTAGCAGCTTAAAACTCATCTTTGTTTTCTTTCTTTTTTTTAACAAGGAGCCACACTTTCCTTCAGGTCTAGGTCCCACAGGACAGGTAGCTGGCTCATCTCATAGCCCTGAGGCCATTGTTGATCTTCTCCAGCCTTCTGGACCATAGCTAGACCTCATTGTTGCTGTCCAGCCAGGACCCGGGCTGACCTTGTCCTCCTGTAGCTCCTGCCAGCCTCCCCTGGGACCTCCTATTGGTGACAACTCACAGCAGCTTCTTACATTCCTATCTTCTGCTTCTGCTGGTGCTGGGAACTCAACCACAGAGAAGCCTGCTTCCAAGATAACTGTCAGATGATGGGGAGGTTTACTTCCCACTCCTTACCCTTAGTCAGGGTGGGAAGCCTTCAAAGGAGCTACTTATTCATCCTGGCTGCTCCCTTCACATCCTGCCAGAGCCTGATGGTGTTTGTGCAACTTTCCTGTCAGCTTGTGGGAGCAGTTCAAAGAGTCTCAGCCTTCCTCACTGCTTCCTCTGCAGACAAGCAGCTCTCCTGCTGCTCCCCTGCCCTGGTCTCTCAAGGAAACTACCCTTTCCTCTGCCTCCCTCCCTGCAGCAGGTCAAGGAGTATCTTGAGAGAAGATAGGGTCATCTGAAGCAGGTAAGTGAAAAATCTACCAGGGTCTTCTGTAAGATGGAATTTGGGGGAAGGAAAGGGCCTCTGATCAGTAAGTTCACAGTCACTAGCCCTGGGGAAAGTTCATGGATTGTTCAAGAATCTGGTTCTCCAGGCTGCACTTCTCTGTAGCCTGTGACATGAGAATTTCTCCCACAAGCTGCCTCCTTTTTGAGGAAGTTTAACCACTGGGCCTCTTCACAGGGAAGAGCTTTTGATCCTAGACCTCTCAAAAGGGAATGTTGTAGTCATTTCTGGCTGTCAGTCAAGGCTATAACTCAGGTGGGGAGGGTCTGCTTCTCCAAGGCAGTAATCAGGCCGGTCCATCCTAACAACCTCCAGAAAACCTACACAGTGCTCAGGGATACATGCTGGGCTCAGTGAATTTACCCAGCCATCCAGGCCCTGCTTCTGTCTTTCCTCCTCCACTGAAGAGGATCTGTGGGTAGAAGGACTATCCACTCACCCTACATCCTCTGGAGCAACCATTTTCCAGGCCCAGGGAGAAACAGTGCTCCAAGTCCACCCTCTCAGAGATGGGTGAAAATAGATAGGCAGGCCAGGAGACCCTGGAGATAGTGAGCCCAGCATGGTAAAAGCGTACTCAGAAGACCTACACCCCAGGAGACAAAGGCGCTGGTTTCTTTTTCTTTCTTTCTTTTTGTTTTTTGTTTTTCGAGACGGGCTTTCTCTGTGGCTTTAGAGGCTGTCGTGAAACTAGCTCTTGTAGACTAGGCTGGTCTCACAAAGATCCTCCTGCCTCTGCTTCCTGAGTGCTGGGATTAAAGGTGTTTAATCCCACCATCGCCCTACAAGAAAGCACTCCACGTGGCGCTGGTTTCTAGAGAAGCCACAGGAGCGAACCTTGTAAACAAGACTCAGAGAACACAGGAGTACCTAGCTCAGTTTCAGAGAGAGGGGCTCTGAACTGTGGGGCAGAAAACAATGAGTCAGCAGAGTGACTTCTCATTCCCCCAAAGGGAAGAGGAGGGAGTATGGGGAATTTCCACCATCCAAAATTGCAGGATGCTGGGTAAAAGGTGAAGGGGAGACTCTACTTGGGGTGGGAACATAACCCCACTGGATCCAAATGATTTTCCTTGAGTCTAATGATGAGAGAAGACAGGGAATTAAATGGATTTTAGCCATTTTAGTCGGCTGTGTGTCCCACCAGTGTCTCAGACTGTCTTTACAGAGTTAGTCACGTGGACTTGGAAGGAGAGTACTAAGTGAGAGAGAGAAAGGACTGGGGGACAGTGAGTGACTGTGTCCATGTAACTGGAAGGTGATTGGAGCAAGATCAATCCTGACCGACAGCATTTGTATTCCAGGTCTTCTGGCGATCAGCAACAGCAGAGAAATGTTACAGGGAACCCGCTACCTGTGGGAGTTTTCTGTATTTTCCAGCTCACACACATTCCAGAAAGAATGTCAGTCAGAATAAATGACTGTCTTTTGAAGGGAAGCAATGTTTATTTGCTTGCTTGCTTTTTGAGATGAGGTTTTCTTCTGTCATTCTATAGCACAGGCTGGCCTAAACTGTAAAATCCTTCTGTCTTGGCCTTCTGAGTGTGTGCTGGAATTACAGGCAGGTGTCACCAGACCCAGCATAAGCAAAGCACCAGAAAGAACTAGAAGCTTTTGTAAGTAAACATTTTGGATTTTGCTGCTGCTGCTGTCAACTAATGCTAGGAATTGAACTCAGGGCCTCGTGCATCCTGAATGCCTGCTCTACCACTGAGCAACATCCCCTCCTCAACCAGCATTTGAATTTCTTTCTTCTTAAAGATTTGTTTTTTTATGCAAAACATCTAAAAGCATAAAAGCAACAGAAGTCATAAAGGAAAAGTATGTGTGGTTTTAATATATTAAAAATGTTAGAGCTCCCATAAATGAAATTATCAAACAAAAACAATTTATAAAGAACTCATAAATGGACAATAAAATACTAATGCCATAAGACGAAGGAGTTAAACGCATATGGCCATGGCGGTAAACAACACCTGTAACCTCAGCGCTCGAAAGACTGGGGTGAGATGATTGCAAGTTCAGGGCGAGCCTGAGCCGTATATTAAGATCCTGTCCACCACTGCCCCCCCCAAAAGAGCTAATGCCAAGAGATAATTAACAGAAGAAACTATGACAATTAAGCATGCACATATGCCTCAGTCTTTTAGAAAATAACAAATATATTAAGCAATGAAATGTACCCCTTTCATCCAAAATTAGCAAAATAAAAATGTTTCAGATAATAGTACTGCATTTCATTTTAGATAATCTTTTCTAGTGGGATTGTGGTATACTAGAACTAACAGCATAAAGTGGTACAAACTTAGTGAAAGGCAATTTTGACGCAGGCATCAGAGCTTTTGAGAAACTCATCCTATTGTGACCAGAGATAATGGCTGTCTAAAATCAAGTGTCTGTCACAGTACACAGGTGCCAAGGACGATCTCCTTGGAGTGTAATAGCTGTTATCATCTAAATCAAAAGCAGCTGTGGTTGCTCACAAGCCAGCCTCTTTCAGACCTGCTAACTGGGACAGAGAGCCATTAGATCCCTACCTGAGATTCTGGCTACTCCCTCCTTCAAGCTGTACATAATTCCTCGCCAGCTTCACATGATCTTGGAAGTTGCCAGAGAATATGGAAAGTGGAAGGTTCATAAGGGGCAAGCCATCTATGTGGCTGTGGGGAAGTCATCATCCATGCTGAGATGAGACATTTTGATGGTGCGGCTGCTTGTGGGTGCCCATTCTTCCTGTAAGTAACTCATGTTCCTGTAAGTGAGTCCAATAAACTCCTTGGTTCAAGCAACACTTGGGTAGAATTGTCTATCCTTGGTTCCCTATCTGGGGTGAATAGACATTTGTTCATTCTCCCCAGAGAAACCTCACATAACAAGTGTTCTGGGAAATGGCTACCCGTTGGGCCTAAAAAAGGCTCAGATGCAAGGCCCAGTATAACCACCTGAGCCTGGCTAGAGTTTGGTGACTTGTCTCTGGCCTGTAACCTCCACTGGGGTTACTCAGTCAGACCTGAAGTAAGACTGCCATTTGCCTAGCTACCTGCCAGCTTGGTGGAATATTATTGGCCCTTACTCCTCACATCACCTTAGCCCATCCTAAGATTCCCATCCCCTACCTCAGCCCTATGTAAGTTCCTGCCTGTTGGAATAAATTGAGATCCTGCTTCAACAGACTCCGGACTCAGTGTATGTTTTCTCCCTGGTAACTAGTAGAGGGGAGAGTCTGAGTCATTGACACTCACCGTCCTGCTCAGTCCTGGGAAGAGACTACCCGGAGCTATGCAGCCACCAACTGTATTCCTCAGTTTTCCTTGAGGTAAGTTTGATCGTATGTAACCCGCTTCCCTCCCTGACGCAAAGTGAGTGGGGGGTGGCATGCATCCCTTCCAAGCTGAGAAGCCTGGAGTATGTTCTCCACCCTGTGCGTTTCCAGACTTAGTGGCTTCTAAAAGAACTTGTTCGTGGTGACAGCATAATAAGCTGGATGGAATATGAACAATCACGTAAAGGTCATAGGCCACATACATTAGACACATGTGTAAGGGAGAAATAGACTCTTGTGTGAAGCCTTTGAAAATGGGAGCTTTATCTATCCTAGCGTTTAGTATCCCTTACACTTATTACCCAGACATTGAGCTTAGGCATAATTTCTAAAGAAATAATCAGATGCCGGGCATGGTGGAGTATGCTTTTAATTCCAGCACTCAGGAGGCAAGGCAGACTCCATAAATTCAAGCCATCCTCCCCTACTCCTGTATTACAAAGAGAAGTCCAGGCCAATCAGAGCTACTCGGTGAAGCCCTGTCTCAAAAGAAAGAAAAGGAAAAGGAGAGAATGGGTGAATGAAGGAAAAATGAATGAATCTGCAGTCTAAGAATGGAGTCCAGATGGTAGTATGCTTGCCTAGCATGCACAAAGCCCAGATTTGATCTTCAGCACTGCATAAACCACATGTATTGACATAAATTCTGTAATCCCAGGACTTGAGAGGATCTAAAGTTCCAGATAATCTTTGGCTTCTTAGTGAGTTTGAAGCCAGTCTGGGTTATAGACACCAAGAAAGAGAGCGGGGGAGGGAGGAAGGGAAAGGGAAGGGTGAGCCTGGAGGTGGTGACACACCCCTTTGTCCCAGTACTCAGGAGGCAGAACTCTGTGAGTTGGAGGTCAGCCTAGCCTACAAAGTAAGTTTCAGGACAGCCAGGGTTACACAGAGAAACCCTGTCTTGAAAAATAAAAATAAGAAAGAAAAGAATCTGATTGCTGGGTGGTGGTGGCACACTCCTTTAATCACAGCACTCAGGAGGCAGAGGCAGGAGGATCTCTGAGTTCGAGACCAGCCTGGTCTACAAGAGCTAGTTCCAAGACACCCTCCAAAACCATGGAGAAACCCTGTCTCTAATGCCCCCCCAAAGAAGAGAAACTGATCAGTAAGTCGTATAAATCTTATGTTTAATGAGTATAGAAGCTGACCATTTGTACAAACATTTTGCAATAAAGCATGTACATATTTTGTTAATTATGATCAGAGAGTGATCTGGTTTGGTTTTCCTTCTTAAGAAATCTTTTAATGCATGACTAAATTACCAAGGTGTTTCTTATGCTTTTGCATGCCTACTTGTGTGAGATAGGGTCTCACTATACACTCTAGGCAGGACTTGAACCCCTGATCCTCCCATCTAAACCTTCCAAGAAGCTGGGTTTAACACCATATCCAGCCATTATTTTTTTTAAATAACAGTTTCAAGTTTGGGCAAAGCCAAGCATAGTGGTGCGTATCTTTAATCCCAGCATTTAGGGAACTGAAGCAGGAAGATGGATAATTCCAGCCCAGCCTAGCCTATATAGCAAGACTACATGGATAAACCAGGTATGGTGGCATATACCTTTAATCCCAGAACTCAGGTAGAGGCAGGTGGATTTCTATGAATTTGATAAGGTCCAGCCTGATTTACACTTCAAGTTCCAAACCAGCCAGAGCTACATAGTGAGACCCTAAAAGCAATGGGTAGGAAATGGAAAAGTGGGGGGCAACCTGCTCTCCTTTCACTACTATAGCAGTCAGGGTGAGCAAGGGTACACTGTGTTCCAATGGACAGACACGCACACACTGGCTACACATTCAGTTTGGCCAGAAGCTGTGTTCTGCATAAGCAACCATGGTGACAGAGGCTGCCCCATTTTGTGGAACATGAGACCCTTCGACAAGGACTGGGAAGACGGGGTACAGGATGGCCTATAACTATTCTCTGCCTCAGACCAAAGGTGAAACTTCACTCCTGCTTAGGTTTCATGGTCCACCTGACTCAGGACTACAGTGTTGAGTGAGCACCATTGTCTGCCATAGTCACCACGACCTCTGCCATCCTGTTTGCTACTTCCTCTCTGTGAGCGCCTACTTTCTACTTACCTTCCCATAGTGTACTAATGCAGCTCCCTGACACTTCCCAAGCCAGAGACAGCAATTATTGCCGCGGGTCCTCTTCCCGGGGCATGCACACTACCCACTGGCCATGCACTCTTTCTCCTAAGCCCAGACACAGCAGCAGAGTCCTTCCCTGCCTCGTCACTGGGAAGGAAACTCACCTACCTGAAGAACTTCTCCAGACCCTACAATTATGATTCTCAACCTGAGGGTCTCAAACAATGCTTCCATGGGGTCACATATGGAGATATCCTGCATATCAGATATTTACACTGCTATTCATAACAGTAGCAAAAGTACAATTACAAAGTAGCAATGAAAGCCATTGTATGACTTGGGGGGCCACCACAGCATGAGGCACTGTATTAAAGGGTCACAGCGTTGGGAAGGTTGAGAACCACTGCCCAAGGACAGCCGAGTCTGGCTCCATCTCTGCTGCTCCACTACTTTCTCAGGGACGCACAAGGAGGCCAGCCGGCATCTGATCCTTTGTTATCTGTGTGGCCCACACGTGGTACCTCATCTGGGGATTCTGGTGTTGCCAGCACTCCTGGGCTTTGGTGTTTTCCCTTCAGCTTTTACCACTCTGATCAGAATAAGAACAATCAAAGGAAACTTGACTTCCTTCACAGTGAACGTGGGTCACTACTCACAAAGTGAGAGAAAGGAATCTTTATGGTACAAACAGAAAAATCAAAACAAAACAGATCTGGGCCCAGACATTTCTAGAAGCTTCCACAGTTCAATAGGTCACTCCCCTATGCTAAGGAAGAGAACTTTCTTTCCTACTCTTAGTAACACCAAACAAAGAGCATCACTCATTAACTCATTAAACACACAAAAAAAAAACAAACAAATAAAAAAACTTTATCTTAAAAAGAAATAAAATACCACTTTCTTCAGGGATTAAACAAAATAGGATCTGACTAGGAACATCTAGAATGTTCTGTCTCTAAGCCCCTAAAACTCTGCTCATCCTTTTGTTTCTTTCAAGCTTTATCTTGGCCCC